CTCCCCCCCCAATCCCCTCACTTCCCTCCCCCACCAACACCCAGCACCCCTAGCTTGCTCCAACACCCTCCCTTGCTCCTGCTCCCTCCACCTGGCCAGGCCCCCTACTCCCAACCTGCTCTCCCCCCCCAATCCCCTCACTTCCCTCCCCCACCAACACCCAGCACCCCTAGCTTGCTCCAACACCCTCCCTTGCTCCTGCTCCCTCCACCTGGCCAGGCCCCCTACTCCCAACCTGCTTCTGCACCCCAGCTCCCTCCCAGATCCTGTACCCCATCTCTATCCTACTTGCTGGCAGCCCTCTGTTGCACAATGTACCCCACTTTTGTCCCTACCCCAGAGCCGAAGGAGGTCCATAAAATCCAGTAACTCCAGAACCCCAGAAAAGAAAACCTGGTCTATGGGAAGCCCTGAACCTGTGCCCCCTCCCCCTTCCTTTCACCTCACCCTGTGAGGCTGGGGCACCAGGGGAGTGAGGTGTCTCAGTTGGTGTCACATCAGTGACCCTTGGGGGGTCTTTTAGAGTTTTTTCCTTCTCACTTGTGACCCCCAACCCAAAAAAGATTCCCATCCCTGCCATAAATAAAGAAAACATTGAAACCTTTTATGTTGGACATATTTTAGTTCATCAAACTTCATTTTAAGTAAAGTAATGTGAGAACGTTAAAATGCTTCATCTGTTTCATAATTTAAAATAAACCATTCTTACTAGCTGCAGGAGGTTCAGAAAATAAGGTCACTGTACCCAGCAGGTCAGTTCTCAATCCCACCCCTTCCTAATCATTCCATGGCTACTTCCGAAATTTGTGAAGTAGCCCCCCTTCCAAAGTTATTGCCTGCTCCTGATCTAGCTTGTATGCTTTTCTGGGCAAGGACTGTCCTGTTATGTATTTAGAACAGGAGATAGTCTGTAAACACTATGCTAAATAACCCTCTTAGAAGAATGGCTACAATTTGACAGCCTGATCCTGGCAACCTTTATCATGAAGGCAGCCAGACTAATTACTGACCAACTTTTTGTGCTGAGTAAGGACCGGTGACTGATTTTTTCAGCATTAAGATTATCAGTGTTTAAGTGAAATTGTCTTCAAGCTTTTCATGTATAAGCTGAGCACCTGTACTTCATATATGCACACAGAGAGGGGTACATATGTGGAATGCTGCTGAGGTGCTCAGTGGCCTTTCACGTTTGTTCGTGTGTGATCCATGGCTCTTCAGACTCCCATAGCTGTGCTGGAAGAACACAAACGTTATTCGATTAGAAACCTCAATGCTATCATATCGTATATACTAATAGGTTGCCTCGGGATGTTAAAATGTGTTTAATTATATAATCACATAACCTCTGAAAAAAATTCAGCAGTTACACGATTACATGCCAGGGAGGGTGAGGGGGCTGGCAGGAGCCAGCATTAGTATCAGAGTTAGCAGCGCAAAGCAGCAGGCAGCTTTGTGGGATCCAGTGTGTGTGGGGAGCCAGCTTTAAAGACTCCTCCCTCCACCGCTGCACGGGCTCCCCAACACCCCTGGTCGTCCCTCCCAACATGGGTGGAGGGGCTGCATGTAAATGGTGACACTTTTCACCTCCCTATGTCTACTGACTTGAGTTATAGGAACATGGGTTTTATTCCCCACACATGGGGTCTGTGGGCAATAAGCTTAACGCTCCTGTTGCTGTAGGCACAGTTATCTCCCCAGAAGCCACTGGCAGAGGCCAGGGGTGATTTTCAAGCAGTGCCAGGGAACGCCCCGGGCCCCCCCCGCCGGGTGGCATTTTGTCTCTCCAAACCCCCCTCCCTCCCTCCTTGGGGCAAATTCGCTGCTCAGGCCTGTAAGGGCAGGCTCCGCGCCAGCTCCCGCAATCAATGAGTCCAAGAGAGGCGGGCCCCATGCAGGGCCCAGGAAGCGGGCCCCTCTGCAAGGGCAGGCCCCTGGCGGCCTGTGCACCGCGAGGACCCCAGCCAAAGAGGGACAATTTGGACTGGCCTCGCGCAGAGCC